ACGCGGGCCTCTCACTGCTGTGGCCTCTCCCGTTGCGGAGCACAGGCTCCGGACGCGCAGGCTCAGCGGCCATGGCTCACGGGCCCAGCCGCTCCGCGGCATATGGGATCTTCCCGGACCGGGACACGAACCCGTGTCCCCTGCATCGGCAGGCGGACTCTCAACCACTGCGCCACCAGGGAAGCCCCCACGGAAGGCTTTTGAGAGTGGAGTGACGTAAGCTGATTTAGGTTTCTATGGGGTCCATGCATTGAGACCGGACTGGGGAGGAAGACAGCAGGGAGACCACTCACTGCCTGTGTAACTCTGAGCAGGTCTCTGAGCCCTTGTGAGCCTCAGTTTCCTCATCTGCAAAATGGAGACACCCCAACACTCACTTCACTGGGTTCGGGGACGAAGCGGTGTGTATAACTCAGTTAGCGAGGCCCATGGCACAGGGGAAGTTCTCGAAAGGAGATTTTTATGCCTGAGGAGGCGTTCATTTTTGTGATGCCCTTGGAGCAGTGTTGGGCACTGAGTCTTAGCTGTCATCGTTATCGGGAATTACTGAGGGACATTTCCAAAGGAGGAGGGAAGGGGAGGGCTGGGGGCCGAGGGCACCGGTGGAGATAGGAACGCCAGACAGGAGGTGTACACAGAGCAGGGGTGGACACCAGCCCTGGAAAGGTGGCTCCGGGTTCAAATCCCACCCTTCCACATTGACCATCACCAAGCGGCCATCAACTTCGCAGAGATACCAGGAGAATTCGAAGGGGGTATTTCTGACGTGTGAAGGAGTGTGACATCGAATTACTGTAGTTCTTGTTCTCCTGTTGTGATGGAGACAATAAGCGCTCTGGCTCCCCTGAGGACATCCCAGCCAGCGCCCTGGGTCTGTCAGCCAGCCCCGCCCAGGGGCCACGCCAGCAGGCTGTACCAGGTGAGTGCTCAGGTATGCGGAGGAGGGAGGGCCCTGGGAGTGAGCAGGAAGGAGAGGCCCCTGTCGGGAAGGGAGAGAAGAGCTCAGAGCCTCCCGTCTGACACAGCTTGAGCAGCAGGTGAGGAGGGAGCCCAAGGAAGAGACCTGGGTCCTAGCGAGGAGGGACGTGAGGTGGGGACTCCTGAGTCTGCGGGAGGGGAGCAGGGGGCCCAGACTCCTGGGTCCAGACACAGGAAAGGCTGGGGGAACTAAAGTCTAGTTCTGAAGAGCTGGGGGCTGGAGATCGGACCTGAACACCTAAGGGAAGACTATAGGGTCTTAGGGGCTGAGGAATTGGATGAATGGTTCTCTGAGGAGACTTGGTGTCAAAACCCTTTAGTTCCAAGGGACAAGGAGCTCTGAGTTCTGGACTCCTGGGCCCCTGAGAAGGTAAAAGGCTAGAAGACAGGGAGACAGGATCCCAGGGTAGAGGAAGGAAAATGGGGTACACACAGGTTAGGGAGCTGAGTGTATGGAGCCCTGAGGAACTGGGGGCGCGGCAGTGTACTAGGTGTGAGGGGGAGGGGCTGGGGGCCCGGACCCCTGGGTCTGAGGGAGGAGGGCCTACAGGTCTAGATTCCTGGTCTGAGGAACAAGGGCCTGAGGGCCTGGACATCTGGGTCTGAGGGAGGAGGGGCTGGGGGCCCGGATTCCTGGTCTGAGCGGGGAGGTGCTGGGGCAGGAATCATAGGTCCTGAGATCAGGTCCGGCCTCACCTCTTTGCTGGCTCCCAGGGCTCCAGGTGGCAGGAGCTCCCCATTCTCGGCACCATGAGCTCCACCACTGGGTAAGTACCCCCGTCCACCAGGTTCCCCCGGCCCGCACCCGCCCCCCCCCCCCCCCCCCCCCCCCCCCCCCCCCCCCCCCCCC